TGAACACGATCTTTTTGCTTGCGGAAATTCGAGAAGGCTTCTCTACTCAAACCATCTAGTTTCTCACGCACGCGGCCGAACTTCGTAATAACATCGCCTGATCCAGCCACCCACGCATCCTTCACTTTCTTCACACATTCGCCATGTTTTGCCCATGGGGCTTCAAAGCGAAAGGACCATCCCCATTTTATCTCCTCATCCTCCTCCCCCAATGTGTCGCACACAATTGGGCGATGATCGGATTTTGTTGCATCCAAATGCAAAACTCGCGCACTTCCCCATTGCTCCTTCCACTTATCATTGGCAATAAAGCGATCAAGTCGCTCTTCTTTATATCCACCGACCCTTCTCCTGTTCTCCCATGTGAATGGGTAACCATTGAAACCCATATCTTGCAACCCAGTTTCCGCGAGGCAGTTTGAGAAAGCTAGCATATCCTGTTCCGCCACTGGATTACCACCCTTCTTCTCAAGATTACTTACAATCTGGTTAAAATCTCCTTCGCAGAGCCAAGGTCCATCCCATTTCCGCGCCAAGGACCTCAACAGCTCCCACGTTTGGTACTTGTCCCTACTCTCCGGCCATCCATACAAACAAGTAAATCTCCATATCACTCCATGCGCTTCCTCTACCTTCATATCAAGATAATGAGCGTCCCCCATCATAATTGATAGGTTAACGTCACCAGTCCACCAAATACTCAAACCACCAGCCTTCCCGCCACGAGATACATCACATGCCCAACATTCTCCATGTGAGAAACCCAAACTCTTCCTAGTCTCCTCGTTTTCATAAACTAGCTGTCATGTTTACATTAGAAACACAACCTGTGGGGAAACTTGTCGCAAAAGCGACCTCAAAGCTCTAATTGTCCGTTTGCTCCCTAGGCCACGACAGTTATAGCTTAAAAGCCTCATCTATTAATGGAAGGGGATAGGTTCCCCGCACCATCAGTAGTATGATTCTTCGCGTTAGCCTCTTTCTCTTTAACTACTTCACTTCCTTTCAATTTTCCATCTAGCGTCTTCAACTTCCCTGATCCTGATTGCTTACTTCGAAACAGCAGGGACATGATGACTTTGTTTTTGTGTGGAACCCTTGTGTTGCTGGTGGCAATCCTCTTTATTTTTCCCAATGGTTTTAGCTATCCGCATCATAGATTCCTTATTGATGAACTCAATCGGTAACTCCAACAATTGCACCCACACCATTGTCGAAGTCATCACAGTTTTCCACGGGTTAAAACCCTTAAACCAACGGTGAACCGTTAATTATGTATCTCCAAGAAACCACGGGCCACCCATCGTAGCATATTCATAATCTTTCTAGCTCTGAAACCTAACAAGGTAACATCCATTCTTCATGTCGGATATCTGAATCTCCCTATGTCGAGCCCAGAGCGAGTTCAGTCGATGGGACAACGGGATAAACGAAACTCGTCGACCAAGGCCCTTCACCACTAGTGCTGATCTCCACTCCCTCCTCCATTTTATCTTCTCGGCAACCAAAAATAGGATGGGCGGGCACTTTTGATCATAGGTCTCCTCGCCGAGAACATCATCCTCCTCCTTCTCCGCCATTGACATGTCCTCGGTGTCGGAGTCCTCCACATACCAGGTATCCTGTCGCAAAATGTCACTAAAGCATCTTCCCCGCCTTGCACCCCAGGCGTAGTTTTCGTCCGTAAAGGGTACCTCCGTATCCATCTCTGATGCTTTGCTTTTCGTATCAGCTGTATGTTCCTTGTCCAAGTTCAGAGGTCGGACCCGTTTTTTGGCTTGTGTCGTTTCCTTGTCATTCTTCCCATTCGGGGAAGACGAGTGCTCAGCAGGCCTGCGGATCTCGCCAAACAAATCCATCAATTTCCCAAGCCTCGGTGTGATTAACGGCGAGTTCGCCGCCGTCGTACGTTGCAAACCCTAGCAAAACCAGTCGCTTTTCCCTTTTGATAATTTCCCACGTCCTTATCGGACTTTCCTTATCCAAAAATAGATCCCCTTCGCCCCTAGAAAATTCACCTAACAATAACAGTACAATAGTAACAAACAAAAATAGAGAGCAGAGCAGAGGAAGGGATGGTCGCCGGGAAATCGAAAGGAACTTGATTATTGAGAGACCTCCCGTGGTGCGGCTTGCCTTACCCGTCGGAAGAATTGATTTTCTTGGTAGTTGAAAGAGAAACCTTGCAGCTTGTTGATCAGAAGTCCTCTTAGTGAAATTTTTAGTTCTCTGAGGCTTCCTCCGTCCTGCATGTCTTTAGTTTTGGAATATATTCTAATTCACTTGGTTATCTATTTAGTTACATATTTTGCTGTGTTGTATCTCTTTTATATTACAGGTGTAGGTTTTTGTGTTTTGAGCGTCAACATCCCAGATTTTTGCGGTTGGAGTCGTGGTCGGGACAACTATCGCTGTTATGAGCATCCACTATTGCTGGTTGGTGTCACTCGGTCTTGGCGATGGATGGTGGCAATGAGGCAGTTGAATGGATAAGTATGTTAGGACCATATTGTAAATAACCTTCTTATAGGTTATGTAGTTAGGGTTTGGTGTGAGCAAACCTATATAAACTATTGTGCCTATACCAGAGAACTTAAGTCGAATAATAAGAACTAAAACCTGAGAGGGAGATCCTCTCCGTGGACTAGTGTCTAACGACGATACCACGTTAAAAAAACTTATGTGTTTTTCAATTTTGTCAGATAAATTGACATGGTATAAGAGCCTTGATCAAGACCTTTGATTCATATTTAGATTGTGCTTCGTCATTAGGGTTTGTTGGGTTCGGCTGCTTTCAGTTTCTTCTTTCAGCTGATCTCGTTGATTGGTCTTCGTTGTGTGGATTCTCTTGCAGTGGTATCAGGATGGAAGCTGGCCGTTTTGAGTGTGTGTCTACGAAGTTTGACAGCAAGAACTTTGCCTTGTGGCAATTCAAGTTCCAAAATTTCATCGAAGGGAAGATGATGCTCCCTATTCTGAATGGGACGTTGAAGAAGCTCGCTGACACCACGCCGCAGAAGGATCAAGATGATTGGGCGGCGGCGAACGCCTAGGTCATGTCCTGGTTATCGGGATCAGTGGACATCCCTACTGCCTTAGATCTACGTCAATTCTCTACTACCCATGAGATGTACTCTCATGTCTGAAAAACCTATTCACAGACTAACTCTTCTCGCTAGTTCAATATCGAGGAAACAAGGTTGCATGGCCAGGCTCAGATCGATACTCTTTCGTGGGGACACATCTTTTACGGTTGGAAAGAGTTGTTGAAATCACCCTTAGTTTCAGGCACAAGTTACTAGCACTCTCACTTGTCACTATTGCCATGAAGTTGGACATATACAGCCTCACTGTAAGCAGCGTAATATATGTATCTATTGTAAGAGAGCTAGTCATATTATTCTGGAATGTAAGATGCTTGCTAGAAAGGGTGGGCTGCGTCCAGGTTATGGCGGTAAGAATGCAGGTTCAATTTGGTATGAGTTGTGCGCCATTCAAAACTCTGAATCATTGCTTCAGTCTCAATAGTGTGTCTCACCTCCTTCGTACCAAATTGTTGGCCCTTCATAAACCTAGTGAGTGGACCCCATAATGGCACCTCTGGAGGCTCCATGTCGGCGTCGACATACCAATTCTGATTTGGAATGTGATTTTAGTACGAGATAGGTACACGGTCACGAGACACCTCATCATCATCTGACTCTGGGCCTAAATCATCAGCACCTTCAAGAGGGTCGGAGTTGTCTGCACTGACATTGCCTTCTTCTTCTTCATCATCGGAAGGGTCACTAACTAGTGCTTGCGGGACATCTTCCATCTGATCTAGATCATGAAAGACACCTTCATCAACTTCATAATTGTAGTTGTGAAAACTATCGCTGCTTGAATGGAAGTTGTACTCGGGTTGGTAGTGGTAGCCTTTTTGTTGGTTGTCATGGTATCGTTGGACTTCTTCTTCATATGACGGGAAGGTTTGATGATGACCTTCACCTCCTTCTTGGTACTCATGGTAGGAATGAGGATCATGGTAACCTTGGTAAGGATGATCTTCATATAATCCACCTCCACCATGGATACCAGATGCTTGCCCATCTCCAGAATGACCTCCATCGCTTTCGACCGCCTCGGTGTAAACGAACATCTCTGCCTTGGAAACATTGTTGGCGTTCAAAAATTCAACCATGACATCTACTTCATCCTGAGTGGTTATAAGGAATTCCTCATGCCACAAAGACCCGTCTTGTCTGTTTGGATATCGATACATCATACGGTCAACTCTTCTCGTGCCATCCATGCAAGTAACCTCAATACACATTTGATGGAGCTCTTCAAACATCGGTCTCGTAGCGACCTTCATTTTATGAAAATTACCACCGACGTAACATACCCCCTTTTTGGTCTCTTCCGTGTAACCATTACACCGTAACCCAAGCGTGAACTTTTGGAATGCAATCTGCAATAAAATCGTAATTCAGTTAATACCATAAAAATCACAAATCACAACAAAAAGTAATACAAAATAAACTTACGAAGCAACGTTAATCGCAAAAACTCTAAATAAGTAGGGTGCACAACAGACAATTGAAGAAGAATAAAGAGAGGGGTGAAGAGCTGAGGTTTCAGGGGCTGTCTTTTAAAGGCAAAATCATTACTGAAAACCGTAAGGGGAAGTGGGGGTGTTTCATCTGCTACGCAACCCCATGTCTGCAAACCCCTGCATGGTGACATGTCGGGCGGAATGGGGACGACACACAAACCGCAGGGGTGGGTGTTGTTTGTGTATCGGCAAGGCAAACCGCACGTTAAGGGAGTGGTTCCGGTTGAAGACCTAAAACCGCTCCCTCAAGAGGCGGTTTCTACTAGGTCAGCCACTAGAACGCCTATTGAGGGAGCGGTTTCTGCTCATAATTTTAATCGCCTCCTCAATAAGCGGTTCTTCCACAAACCGCCTCTCCAATAACAATTTTTTATAAATGATGGTATTTTTGGAATTTGTGTGAGTTGGTCGCTATTTTTATAAAAAAAAATTAAATAGTACTCGTATTGGAAAAAAAAATCCTATATTGTCCGGCCTTAGGAAAAAAAGGACTGTGCATAGTGGAGTCACCAGAGTAGGGGTAAGCATTAAGCAGTGACGGAATGAATTCTGGATCTGGAGCAGTGTTACGCTACGGTGATGGAATAGCCGAAGAATCGGCGGCGACATCATCCGATCCAGAGATGGCGAGTTGGATCAAGTATGGAATCTGATATCAACGTCGTATTAAATCGTTCTCTGATCAGGCGGACCTTATTATATCACAAGGAATTGCAGGATCCAAGATTCTCTAAAGAAGAGATTGATCACGGGGGATGATTTCGATTGGACACCGCCGAGAAGCAATCCGCCGTCGACGGCGGCGGAACATACCAGCGAACCACCAGAGGAAGAAGTAGAAGGATCAGGAGCGGAGCAATTGAGGTACGTCGGTGGGTTTGACGTGAGCTACTCCAAAGAAGATCCGTCAATGGCTTGTGGTATTCTCGTGGTTTTAGATCTCCGAAACCTGCAAGTTGTGTATGAGGACTTCTGCATCGTTGACCTTCGAGTTCCTTATGTACCTGGGTTTCTTGCCTTTCGGGAGGTATTATAATTTTTTTACGAATCAGCAGTAATGGCGGTTTGTTTGGGCGGTTCTCTGGAATTCTGTCTTGTCTCTGAAACCTCTTATTTCCCCTGTTCGTAACCCAGGCCCCAATAATCCTGCAGTTGCTTGAGAAGATGAAGAAGAGTGACATTAGGTTATACCCTCAGGTGACGGTGTTGATCATTTCCTTGCTTGTTCTATAGATCAGGAATTTGTTGGTTGAACCGTTGAGAAGTACCCACCTTTTTAGAAACCCCCTTACCTTCGAGATTTGATCCCATCAAACATTGGGATTGCTTGAAACTTAGGGAATCCAATTGTACATTGTATATGTTACTTTTCACGTCGCCATAGATATGCTCCAATTGTAGTGTAACTGAAACTTGACTCTGAATTTTGCCATCTTTGTGTGTTCATACAGTTACTGATGGTTGACGGCAATGGGTTGCTTCATCCAAGAGGCAAGTCCTTTTTTCCTATCTTTCTCCCCACTGAATCTCATCGGAATTCTCATGGCTTGTCATATGCTGAAAGAAAAAAAATCGAAAGGATTGCATAATCCCGATTCTCCTAATGCTGAAGGAACATGGACAAAACGTAGCTGGTGTGTGACGACTAATGTTTTAGCACTTGATTCAGTAGCAGGGAAATGAATAATGTTCAGTGACGCGGAGTATCTCCTGTGAAATTTGCGCTCGTGAATAATACTTCTGTTCGGCTGGCTACAAAACTGTCTCTAGGTTTCGGCTCAGCTTGCCATGTGGGAGTTCTGGCTGATCTACCAACCATTGGTATTGGGAAGAATGTAACTCCCTGCTTGTTGATTTGCTGCACTCCCTTGAAATGCTCAACTCTTAATAAAGCGTCACATTTGATTTGAGCTGGCTTTTCTTTTAACGGAAGTTCTATTTTGTGAATATTTCCAGCTGCACCATGTTGATGGGCTTACCCTATCTGGAGTGAGACAATTACTTCAAGCTGAAGAGAACAACGACAGGGACTACATTACTCTAAGTGGATACTCTGGATGTACTTGGGGAGTGGTAACTGAGCCCGTCCTTTTCTGTTTTCTCTACTCTAGGATTTGTTGTTTTCTCATCCAAATGCAAGTTTCCACTCCATCTAACTCCTCAAGTTTACTTCTTGGTAGTGTCTGTCTGGTTCTGACAATTCTGCTTTCTTTTTGTAATAGGCAATGAGATCTTCAGCTGGCGCTATGAAGCCAATCTTCATTTCAGTTGGCCATCGCATTTCCCTTGAAACTGCAGTCAAGATCGTCAAATTGACTTGCAAGTACCGCATGCCAGAACCTATACGACAGGTAAACAACCTAGTACTGGAGAAGCTTGTTGGAAACCATGGTCATATCAGTTTCAGTGTTGGTGGTTTTATGACGCACAAATCGACCTGCTATTTGTGATGTTTGCTTAGCTCCGATAACCTGATCCATCGGTTTTCACTTCGTAGGCTGATATAAGATCGAGGGCGCACCTAAGGAAGCAAGACTGATTGGAACATTGGGATATGGCAGTTGTATAGATTTGGTTAGGTGCAGCATTCTTATGGGTTTCGGTGTATCTTGATCGCCTATAACATACACTCTCGGTGCTTGAGACAGACTATTCCACCCCTCTTTTTTGGATGGCATACATCTGTAGATGGTTGGGACTGGAGAAGCGAGAGCCAACAACTAACAAGAGCGCATAACATATCATTCACAGTTCTTGACCAAAAATGATTTTAAGGATCCATTTGCTGATTTTCTTAAAGTTCATAGAACTCTTTTGCATTGCATTTTCCAAACTTAAAATTGAAATCGTGAAGTGAATTAATCTGAATTTTGGTCTGGACAACTAAGTGCGCAGTGAAAGAAGAGGCGGGAGTTGGACTATATGAAATGGCTTTTGATGACGCCTCTTGCAAGATCAGGTGGCACAGGACGGAGAACTAGGGCTCCTACACCCATTAGCTCTCCAATGCCCAGGTGGACATTTGCTTAGTACAATCGAGAAAACCATGAGCAAGTATCTACACATAATATAATAGCACAAAGAGAAAGAGAAAAAGTGATGTTTCATTTCAAATTTCCTGCAATGAGAGTGAATGTAGGAAGGATATTTTGGTCTTTACAGTTGCTTATTTATTCATAAAAAAACATGTACTAGGATTTGAACCATAATATATCTACACATAATATAATAGCACAAAGAGAAAGAGAAAAAGTGATGCTTCATTTCAAATTTCCTGCAATGAGAGTGAATGTAGGAAGGATATTTTGGTCTTTACAGTTGCTTATTTATTCATAAAAAAACATGTACTAGGATTTGAACCATGGTCACTTTAAAGAAAAGCAAGGATCATAACCAATCACACTAAGTATATTTGTTGTATCTTTTTAAATTAAAAAAAATACATGCAACTAAATTCTGCAAATCATATGATTTTTTCAACGATTAGCTGGTCACTGAATTTCCCGTAAGTACTTATTTGATTTTGATACTTCAATTTTCAGATTTTGATTATTTTAGTTGTATTTTAATACTTAATTTAAATTTCTATCTATCGTATCTACATATAATATAATAGCAACAAGGAAAAACCATTCCCCCATTTGAAATTTGCTGCTCCAGGAGCATTTGTAGTAAGGGTAGAATAGGTAGTGCTAATTTTTTTCTCTTTCCTCTGTGAAACGGGCCAACTTACCGTACACATGCGGACTTGAACGGGCCCAGAGATTGTTGCGGCCCACAAAAATAGAATAGGTTTCAGCCACACGCATCTGTTCGGCCGAACTTAGGATACCCAATTCGTGGGTTACAAGACCACGTTCACACTCCAATCCGCCAAAAGGTGAATTTCTGGCAAGTCGTATACAATTCGAGAATTGATTTCGACGGGAGCGCGAATTTGTTGTGGGAGAACCCGGATCCGCTTAAAACTACCCTTTTGCATAGAGTTTGAAAATAAATTTTGAGCCATTAATTGGGTGAATGGGTGAAATAAGAGTAGACTCAACAAGAGGCAAGAACACTGCGACCATCGGCTCTAAATGGAGGAAGGAGATTGCCGATTAATTGAGGTCGGTCGAGATGAAAAAGAAAGAACTACCAACGAGTAGTGAGATAGGGCTCTGAGATTATAGAGATACTTCGTTCTAGAGGAAACAAGGAGTTCCGGCGTCGGAGAGATATGACGACCAGTAGTCGACGTCGAACAGGAAGAGCCGACACCTTTGAATTGAGGAGAATCATCCACCGGCTCGATGCTTCTGGTCTGGTTGCTAGATATTATTGTCCTTTCTGTTTTTACATCAACGTAACTATAGACCTGTAGAAGTACCGGGAATGGAAAACACAAAGACCATTTACTAAGAATCTTTGACTTTTTTGTGGCAATAATCTTGGACTTTAATTTAGTTTTTCCTCGAATTCCAAATTGTTAAATTTTAAGACAGGAAAAATGGAACGAATTATTAATACAATCTAAATGCAATATTGTGAAAATATACCCTTTTCCATATTATTAAACCTTTATCCATTAATATTTTACAGTTTATATATTGTTAATATAAACAAAATAAATGATATTTTGTATACTAATTGTAAATTATATTAATATAAATAATTATATATAATATAATAATGACGCTCTCATCACGCTCTCAACTTTAAGTTCTTCTGAAATAGACGCTCCTGCTCTTGCTCCACGAACTGGTTACCTAATGTCGGACTGATTGCCCACTCCCCCGCCGCATCTACTCTTCTCATCTACAAGCCAGTTGCGGATTGACGGGTGATTGACAACAAACTCACTGCCTATACCGACCTTCTATACTGATTCCGGTTCTTTGCAGTCAATTTCATGTGAAGTGCGTGCTTCTTCCCGTTCTGGTGATGATTCCTCCACTTCTCAGCCCGATCAGAAGTTGTTTCTATACCCCTTTGTCTTTGTTTCTGACACGCTAAAACACAACACCTAACAATGGCCAAGTGTAACCAATGAAAGGGACTGCAGTATAGTGGCACAAGTAATAAATATCGAATCCATGGGTCTCTAGAGTTACTATTACTCAGCTTCAGTTCATTATCTAGCAAACTAGATTAAGGATTGATTGATAAACTACTCTACTGACTACTCTACTAATTACAAGTTGGGAACTCACTTAGGTATGATTCCCCCTAGCTCCTCAATTAGGTCCAAGTTGCAATTACCTTTGGTTGATCTGCTGTTGATTAAACTGCGGAAGATCCTAAATTAGCTTGGAATCTCTTAAGCTGACCAAGCCCTCTCAGACAGAATACCCGGCAGGCGACTAGCCTTCACCGGGATAGACTGCTAAGGCGATTCACACAGATCTCCACTACTGGAATGAGTTCCAGTACAAAGCAGTGAATTGATTGACTCTCGCACAACCAATTCACTACTATCAATCAAGGAAGCTCTCTTAACCTAATCAGATTCTATCTATCATAGGTTAAAGCAGAAATCAAGAGAATTTGATCAAGATCCAATTGACTCAATAAATCATGCCTCAATCGATTATAATCAAACAGTATAGCATCCAAAACTTCATACAAGAAAGATCCTAACTCATGGAACTAGGGTTCCTCAAAACCTAAGTGAAGGGAAGTTACTCCATAGAGAAGAGAGAGACTGCAGAAATCTGATCTAGATCTTCAATCTCCATCTCCAAGCTTGATTCCCGAGCTCCAATGGCGAAGAAATCCTCCAAAATAGCTCCAAGAATGTTTCCAAGTCGCTCTCTCTCTCTAGGGTTCGTCCCTTGGGTGTTTGGGATCCAAAACCCAGCTCTCCCCCTCCAAAAATCGCAAAACAGCTTTTATACCCGCTGAAACTCGCACCCCCTACTTGCACGGCCGTGCAAATTGAGGTTTTGGCCGTGCAGACCCCTTGGGAAACCCGCACGGCCGTGCACAATTTCACACGGCCGTGCACAATTTCCAGCATGCACTCCTAAGCTTCGTTGATCTCGTTTGAGCTCGTTTGACCTCCGATTCAGTCACCGTTTGATCCCAGACGCTCGTAGTCTCGTCCTCTTTCTTTTCATGACAAGCTTGCATGATTCTTTGTCCATAAAGTGAGGTAGAAATCCATTCTTCTTCAGGTAATGCCTGAGTTTCTTCTCCCGAATGGTCAATTGATCTCTGATTGACTTGAAACTTGCGCCTATACTTCACTTTATGTGCTTGGACCTGAAATGTGAGAAAGGAACACAACCTAGCGTAAAATAGGCCAAAGACACGATAATTCAAGCTCAAATAATCAAGAAACAAAGGGGAAAACATGTGCAAATACCGAGTCATCAAATCCCCCCACACTTAACTGTTTGCTTGTCCCCAAGCAAACCTATCTCAAACCAATGCAACTCTCCAGAGCTCTATAGCAACATACAACCCCGATCGTCGGTAGTGGATTTCCTAGATCATATAGCAGCTTACGAGGTCAACTGGTCTTCTAAGACGTTCCCTATCTCTCTCAGTGCGAGTACTCGACTCAAGCCAGGATCATGAGAAAAAGTAGAAGTAAGACAGTCAGTTCATGGATAAAGGGACTCACACCATTCACAACCAAGGACTCGTTGTACCGGGGTGCTCTTTCACTTCATTTCACCGTTGGAACCCCTTTTTCTCACTTTCATTTACATTTTTTCTCTTTTTTTTCTTTCATTTGGTGGGGTTCCAACTGCAGTCCTTTGCACGGTCGACCCTTATTAGTGGGGTTCCAACTGCAATTTCTGTAAATCTGGCGCTCGCCAGAGTACTTCTTTTAACTCCTTTTCCTCAACTCGTGTGGAGGGTCAATGAAATTAAGGGGGGTCGGAAGCTCTATCCGTGCCCTTAAAAACACATCCTCAAGTAGGCAAATCGCTCAACGGGTGGAAGTTTTACTTGTACTAGAGACAACTTAGCTTCACCTTGTAGGAGTACCCCACTAAGGATCACTAAAATCTCTTCCAAAACCCGATTTTGTGCAATGAACGGTGCCACACACGTTGGGCTTACCCCATGTTTAAGATTTTTTATGATTTCGACATGGAGGACCAACTACTTTTCATTTTCCACATGAGCACCCTGTTCAATACACGAGTCCATAACACAATTCAAACAGAGTCCGCATTACCACATGAATTCAACGGTCTTAGCTCCACTAATTCACAAAATCAACTGACACAGCAGAGAGCTAGATAGGAAAAATCTTATACTTCAACATCCTCCATAGTGCTACACTACCTCCCTAGGTTGCACATTACTATAGAGACTGTCAATTCAAAGCATACTGAGCAGGAAATTTGCATGGGAACACGTACTTGGCGCCCTCAAATTTAAAAATTTGGACAGTGGACTAGGCTCCAAGCACACAAACAGCCAAACATTCACCCGCATACATAATCGAACACCCCCCCACACTTAAGCACGACATTGTCCTCAATGGAGGAAAGATAAGGAGGGTAGAACGAAGTTACCATATCAAGGGTGAATGAAGATGTACGGGTCAAGCGGTGCATTCTAGGAAGAGAGAGTAATCAGAACACAAACACCACACAAAATCTCACAAAGGTTGAGTTATTGACTCTAAAATCAAATAACAAAACTGACTCAACCGAGGAGAAATAGAGAAAGAAATGCAAACCGACTGGTTGGGTTGCCTCCCAACAAGCGCTTCTTTCACGTCGTGAGCCGGACGATGGCTCCTAAGTTTCGGTCCATGCTAGAACCTCCTTGAAGTTGAGGTTCTCATCTATGAGGTGGAGTCTCAAGTCACAAGCAGGTGGTGTGGCAGGTGAAGGCTCGTGCACTTGATGCAGATGAAGTCTCCACCCTCGAGACCTCTTCTTCTCTTCTCTCGTCTCATTGCCCCAAACCAGATAAGACAGCATCGATTGGCCACCATCGCGTCCACCAAGAGGGACCGATGTCGATGTGGCCTTGGTCTGGCAAAGAGACACTGCAAATGGGTCCTTGGCAAGCAGCTCCTCGAAGTTTGGTGGGGATATTACTTGCAACTCATGGCTGGT